ATACATATATAAAAAAAAAAGTAAAAATAAACGTTTATACAAATAATAAAAAACGATAAAAAAAAGAAAAAAAAAACAAAAGATACGCACAGAGACTTTGATCGTTTCAATGAACCATTAAGTATATAAGAGTAGGTAATATATTACTATTAAGTATTATATATATATATATAATGAATTATTATATATTAAAGGGCCTGCTGTTCTAGCACTGGAAAGTGGTACCTCCGGTGGGATCTGCGGAGCGCTCTTTCTTCCTCTTCTTCTTCTTGCTGCCATATCCGTAGTTATCCCTGGCACTCCAGCCGGGGTATCGTTGCTGGTGCAGATGGCGCTCCTGCCTGGCCGCCTCATAATACCGCGCCTGCTCCTCCCGGCTTAGCGAGTGCCACTGCGTGATCATACCCCCAAAATTCAGATTCACAAATTCTACACTCTCAGAGTATTTTAACCGTGCACCACCACACCGTGTCTTTATATCATCATCTTCACAATCGAACTTATATTATACTTTTTTTTTTTTCTTATTTTTTATTTTTTTTTTTTTCATTTTCATCGTCATCGTCATCGTCATCGTCATCGCTGCCGAAATCGGCTGCTGTTAGGCAGCTAGGCTATAAACGCTCTCGTTTTTATCATCTCATCGTATCTCTCTCCAAAAATGACCATTACTAAATTGTAACATCTATATCTTTTTTTTTTTTTTCTTTTTTTTTTTTTTTTCAAAATTACCTACCCAACCCCAATCCCGAACGGACGAACGAACGAACGAAAAGATTTACGCCGTATGTATATTATATATATATATATATATATATTTATGAGATTTCCTTAGATCCCACCTACAATGCTATATTCGTACTGAGATACTAGCAGATAAACGGTTAGTTATGTATTTTTATATTATTATCTTTCGAACAACACACGCGAATAATATATATTTTGTACATATATATATTTATTCCAAAGGTGTTATATATTTATAGAAGAAGACGACGCATGCAAGTATATTATTTATATCGAGATGCGTTAAGAAACTTTTTTTTTCTTTTTTTTTTCTCTTGGTCTCGTTATTATTATTATATTCTTCTTGTAATAATATATATATTTTTTTCTTTTCTTTTGTTTTCTTTTCTTATCTTTTCTTTTCTTTTTTTATTCTCTTTTCTTTCGACATCTGAAAAACATTCAAACTTCTTCCGCGTCAAGTCAACATCTCTTCCTTCTTTCTGTGTCTCCGTTAATTTATTTTTGTTTATTTAAAAGCCTTATGGATTTGCGAATCCGTTTTACGTGTGGGTGACTGAAACAAGATCTTGGAGAAAGATTGCATAAAACACATTCCGGAAAAGATATTGACTTGGACGAATATTAACTACTCTCTCTCTTGCGTTCTCGAACCAGAGATATTTCATTCCTCTGTCTACTTTTGTTTTAATTTAAATGACAATATTCAACGGGAGAGAATCTTAATTAGCTTTGATTCGAGTAAACCTTTGTAATCTTTGGTTCGAACGTAGAGGTAGACAATGTTTTAAAAAATGATAGGATTAACGGAGAGGACGTTATTATTACTCACTCGTCTTCCTAATATTTGGTTGATGGCAGCGCTTTCTTTTAAGGTACACTCCGCCACTACTTTTGCCCTCATCTCCTTCATGTAGAGCATAAATGCGTTCAGAGGCTTTTTTATATGGGGTTTCTTTTTATCTGTCGAACAACACATAGAGAACCAATGTCAATTTCAGGATTAATACAAAAAAAGAAAAAGTAAAAGAAGAAGTTGATTTTATCTTATTCGATCGTAAGGCTATTACCTTGATTGTTTTGTTGTCCTGTATCTTGGTTTTTCGCGTTGTCCGCGGGTAACGAGGCTGAATTTTTCTGTTCTATCGTAGACCTGAAAAAAAAACGATAAGAAGAATGCTTTAAGAACATAGGATTAGGAAGTTAAAATAGTAGGACAACAAGGTGAAAAAGATGGTTCATTCATTTTGTTCGATTGGCATTATATCGTTACCGTTTGAAATATGGTTGTTTCGTCTCGTGGTTGGAAGGTTCGGCCTTCGCGGAGGATAAAGGAAAGGACGGCGCGGGATTTTGCGAGGTGCACAATTGTTCGGTGAGCTGATTAGCGCTCGGCGAGTCCGCGAAATAAGGTTGCGAAGGTAGGCCCAAGGGGTTTCTCAAAAAGTTTTGCGGCGTTGGCCAGTTGTTCATTTGTTGCCACACGCGGTGTCGCGCCTCGAGCATGGCCAGCAACTGAACCAAGTTGTGCTGCGCCGCGTACGGGGCCGACGACGAAGTTACGTTCCGCGGCAGGGTGCTGGCGTTCGACATGTTCATCAGGCTACTCATGTAGAGGGCCGTGAGAATCTTTTGATCGGCGATAGGTAAACCAGATTCTCCCCCGGCCTTGCAGGCGTCCTGCAATATCGTCGTCACGTTGTTCTCGATCATCCTCGTCGAGTCCGTGCTCTCCTCCTCCTCCTCTTCCTCGTCGATCGCGTTCATCGACTTGCCGCCGATCCGTTCTTCTTCTTCCTCGATCACGGTTCCTCCTCTACCAGTATCGTCTTTCTTAATCACCAAGTTCAAAGGCTCCAGACACTCGGGCTCCATCGCCATGTGTCCTCTTACGGTTTTATCCTCGTACTCTCCCCCCCGACCCCTCTCACCATCGCCGACAACACCACCCCTCCTCCTCCTTCACCTCCTCCCCCACCTCCTCCTCCTCCTCCTCCTCCTCCTCCTCCTCCTCCTCCGCTGCCGCCACCACCACCACCAAAACTTCCACCACCTTCTCACAAAATTCACTACCGAAGACTGCTGCCGTTTCTCTTAGTATTTACGCTACACTCTGAATAACGATCACGAGTTTCCACCCTTGGCGGGTATCCCCGCCGTGCGTATACCACCATCGTTCCATTCTTCTTTTATCTTTCTTTCTCTCTCTCTCTCTCTCTCTCTCTCTCTCTCTCTCTCTCTCTCTCTCTCTCTCTCTCTCTCTCCCTCTCTATCTTCCTATTTATCTTGGTATCTTTTCCCGCAATGTTTGGAAATTCACTAATTTGGCAAAAGGAATCACGATCGTGAACGCGGCGGCACCGATCTACTTGGAACAACGGTTCCTCCGATTTTCTCGGCGTTCCGATTCTCAACTGAGGACTCCATTGCGCCGCGCACACATTCAGTATTACTCCCGACGTTGATGATGGCACGCGTATCTCGCGTTGCCGTTCGACGATTCGTCGTCCTACGATTCGTACGATAAAATGTCTCCGGGGGCGGCATCCGACGACCGTCTGTTTTCTATATCTCTCTCTCGTATTCCTCCCCTCCGCTTGCTTCTTCTCTTTCTCTCTCTCTCGATTTTCCCATTCTATCTTTCATATCTCTCTCTCTCTCTCCCTCTCCCTCTCGCGTTCTGCCTCGTTTTCTCCCCCTCTCTCTCTCTCTTTCTCTCACCCTCCTCTCCCTTTCGATCACCCTATATATTTTGTCTGGTCGTCTCTCTTTCGCTTCTTCCTCGAAACGCGTCGTTCCTGCTGGCGTCGTGGTGGAATCGCCGACCGGTGTTACGACGATTGATTATCCGCGACAGTGGGAGAAGGAGGTGGTGGAGAAGAGCAAGAGAGGAGCTGCACGAGGTGGAGGAGGAACAGGAGGAGGAGGGTGCTCGCAGCACGAGCCATCATCGCCGATTCTCTCTCCGTCTCCCTCTTCTTTATCTATCTCTATCTATCTCTCTCATACTCTACTGGTTTGTTCAGTTACAACGCGATGATAAAGATCGCATATATACACATACGCATATACACATACGCATATACACACGCACATATGTAACCCCCCTCATATACCTTTTATTGTCTTTCTACCGTCTACCACCGAGTGTTTCCCTCTACTACCCCCTTCTAAAACCATATCATGGTCCTCTCTTAGTTTTTTGTTGTTGTTGTGGTCGTCGTTTCTATTGAGAATTGCGAACCCTTTTTTTCTTGGCCCTTTTGGCGGGCCACCATGAGGCGCTACCGTCGATCTTTGCGTCCTCGCGTGGCTGGGTCGTCCCACTTGCGCCGCGACGAGGTTTATGAACGGATCGAGGTCGAGGGTCAAGGTGCTGATGTCGCGTTCCTGCCGATAGTGTCCGAAGGGGTCCGATCGTCTCTCTCGAGCGATCTCGAAGGAATCCCAACAACAACGTTAGCCTTTGTTCAGAGACGACGAGGGTTCTCCCAAGTATCAGAGATATATTCATTCGATCCTTGTCCTCTTCTTCCTTCTCTCTCTCTCTCTCTCTCTCTCTTTCTTTTTGATAGAAAGAGATCAAGAAAGCAAAGTACGCTGGTGGTATTCTGGACGAAACGGTTTCCTCCTCCTTGAATGCGCGAGTTGTTCTTTCACAAATTCCGAACTAATATATTATATTTTGTATCGTTTCTTTCCATTTGTCTTTCTCTCTCTCTCTCTTCCATGTCAAAGACGGGAGAAGAAGAAGAAGAAGAAGAAGAAGAGGAAGAAGAAGAGAAAGAAGAAGAAGGAAGACGCGTGGAGGATAAGCATGCGGCGGCCTTGTGTTGTACAACACAGCGTCAGCCTAGGCCGCGATCGCCCGGGTACTACTAATGCAAATTAGAAATCTGTTTAAGAGTGTAATGATCAATACATCACGCGGCGACGGCGGCGTCGGTGGTGGCAGCGTCGGCAGTCGACAGAGTTACCAGCGCAGACGCTCTGGGGTGCGGGGAAAAGAGAGAAAGCGCAACAGAGACAGAGAAAGAGCCATTCGATAAATGTAATATACGCGAGTCCTCGTGTTGACGACGATGAAGGGATGAAAGATAGACGGAGAGAGAAAGAGAGGGGGGGGGGAGAGGGAGAGGAAGAGAGAGAGAGAGAGAGAGAGAGAGAGAGAAAGAGAGAGAGAAGAATCGAAAGGGCTTTTGGACTGGTCCTCTTCTATATCTCGGCACGTGCTTCCACCTATGGATGTTGTTCGAACTATTTTCCTACCCTTCCCAACAAATTCTACCCTCTCTCTCTCTCTCTTTCTTTCTTTGAACAACACTCTTTCTCTTTCTATTTCATCCCCTTTTCGAATCGATCGGTACTTCCTTATCAGCCGACCAGAATGTTACTCGTTCGGTTATACGCGCAACGATCACCACCCGACTCTTATTCTCTCTAGCATAGTCCTTCTTTTTCGATCGGGTGCTGCTGCTACTGCTGCTGTATCCATCAAGTTACCATGGGTAAAGCCAGTATCCGGGTAAATAAAGCATTTCCTTCTTCTTCGACCGTTGATGTTAATCACCAATAACAACTTTCCCCTATCTTTTTCTTGTACTCGCTCACGCGCTTATTCGTAAGTATCGATGGAGCAATTAGTTGACGTTTAGACTTCTTCACATTGTCGGGTGATAATTTTTATCAAGAGGGTTGGTTGGTTGGTTGGTTGGTTGGTTGATCGACGTAGGTTTTAGATTCTCCTTTGATCAGCTTTTTCTTTTGACCGTATGTCGGAACTATCGGTGCTGATCTCGCAAAATTTTCGGTACACGTAGGAATTCGAAGGTATCAAGCTTTCGATCAATATTTTTTGTCCATCTTTTTTCTTTCAAACAAATCTAACCGACCGAGGATATGTTATACCTTTGCGAGTTATCGTTTTAGCAACACGATTTACGAACCTGTGATTGTGATCCAGGGTAGAATGATCCGTTTTCGGCGCGGAAGACACCAATGCGTGGGACGCCAACGCGTGGGCGTGAGGACCCAATCCGTGATGAGGTGGCATCAAACCCGTCGGCGAAAATCGGTACAGATCGCTAAAAAAATGATCGATTATATATAAATATTTTTTTTCCGGTTGGATACGAGCAACAAATATTATTTTATCAAATCAAATTTATATCGTGTACAAAAATGTATTATATATTTACATTTAAATATTATTATTAACATTGATATACTAACGTTGATAAACTCGTACTCGAAATGGGTAAACTCGTTGGATACGGACTTCGAAATCCAGCACTCGCTGGTGAAATAGGGTACATGCTTGGTGTATGCCTGAAATCAATCGATTCTATAAATTGACATTATCCCTTAACGTAATTCGATTATCCGAGAGGATCCTTAAAAAGATTAGAAAAAGAAATAAAATAAGAAATCGCTGGCGACCACGAAATAAGAGTCTTTTTCCTTTGTGTTATTTTATCTCTATCTCTTTAACGAGAATTTTGTTGTTGTCGTTGGCATAACGATTAAAGGGAAACGAAGGAGAAGAAAAAAAAAATACAACGAGAGAGAAAGTAGTATACAGGGATCTTCTAATTGAGGAGAAGAGATCTAATCACCCGTGGAAAATCTCAATTTGCGGTGGCTCGGGCAGAAAGCAAATAACAAGGAGGGAGCGAAAGTTCTGAACGAGGATGCTGCTGCTGTTGCTGCTGCTGCTGCTTCTGAACGGGCAACCGCCTTTCGTGAAAGAGAGGAGGGTGGCCCCGGCCCATCGACGATCCTGGACTACCACCGCGTCGTTCTGTATCCGATCTAATAGACCGGAACCGAGAGGATGAACGACCAGACTGACCGAAACACGCACGGTACACACTGCACACTTTGCAACCAATGACGTTGTCGAGATTTTCGAGAAAAAGCTCGACCACCAAGGTAGGGGGACTTTTAGACCTCGAATGCGAACTACTTCTTTCTCTTTCTCTCTATACACGTGTTTTTGATTCTTTCCTATTTGTTCCTGGTTCGTTTAGAGCATCGAACCTGTTTTCAATAGCTCGGCTCGCGCTATTTACCGGCGGCTCGTTCTATGTTTACGTCCGAAGCTTTCGAAAAATCAGCAGCTCTCGTTCAACTATTCTGGACTTATTCTCTCTCTTTTTTTATCTTTTTCTCTTTTTTTTCTTCTTTTTTCTTTTTTTTGGGGGGTACTACTCTCGCTTCTGAATTCGGAATTTCGGATGAAAGCAAATTCGTTCCGTTTGAATGAGATAGTTATTACGGGTAGTGTTATCAGTTATTTCTATTGGAATTAATCTAAATTAATTCGTCATGAATTATATTTTAAATAGCAATAAATCAGAATGTGTACAAATTGAGATTTGAAGGCTACAACAATAATATCGATGAAAATGAACTCTCGTTTATATAGGTCGCTAGCGATTTCTAAAATTAACTTAACCAAATTTATCTCCGATGATGTATACAAGAATGATTTGCTTCTTTTTTTTTTCTCCCGTGCTTTTGTACGTACCAAGAAGCAGCGACTTGCGTCATTTCCGGACTAAGCATGGGGTATGGATATTGGCCCGTAGAAAAGGGATACATCGGCGCCCTAGTCAGACCTGTAACATAAGCAAAATATTAATTTAGGTCTTTTACCAAAAAATTCTAAACAATTTTATATTCGATAAATAGCATTTACGTAATGCGTTGATTTTGTTATGAACATTACAACATGTATCATAAATCTTACTAATATGCATATTAATTTTCATTAATCTATTCAACATAACACAAAGTCTCAGAGCACGCGTCACCACCAATTTCCTCTTCCTCCTGATTCTCGCACGTACACACCCCACCCACATTTACGCGCATACACGCGCATACTCGCGAGGGAGATAATTAAAAAGGCAGTTAATTATCCAGGGTGAATCGAGAGCGTAGTTTGTTTTCGTACATCGAATCGACAAAACACGAACACAGCTTGTGTGCTGCAGTTACCTGAGAAGTACTCTTTTTTTTTGTTTTTTATTATTCGATCAGTTCATTGTCCTTCGTGTATCTCGAGATACATTTTCTCCTCGATATATTTATCTCCTATGCACATATATATATACACACACACACACACACATACACACATGCGTAATACACACGTATACTGTTGCAATAGTAGAGAAATGCAGAGAGAGAGAGAGAGAGAGAGGAGACACGATGGTGTGCGGGCGAATTAACAGATACAGAATAAACATTATTACAGAGAGATCAAAGAAGAGCGGTTCGATTGCACGAAAGGAGTCTATGTATTTAATATCGCGTCGGTTTACAGTACAAACACGAAACGTAGCTGCTACCGACACAAGCGGGCATCGATCAGCAGGCAGCTCCGGTTAAACGTTAGCGGCAGCCAACGGTACGAACCGGAGAGACCGCACCCTCTTCAAAAACCCTACTCGACACCCAATAGAGAGAACGTACATAATCTCCTTCGGAACATAATTGAAAACAATCAAAGATAATTTTCTATGACGTTCTTAGACGCCGAGTACAAGTTTCTTTTTTTTTTCTTTTAACTAATTTTTATACTTTTCATTCGATACCTTATAAACGGGGGAGGGGGTGGCGTCTTTTTAAAACTTTACTACTTGGCAACCCCCTTTGTTTACTCGAGCAAATATTTTCACGATCACTGGATATAGATTCTCTATACTATCTTCTCGTAGATATATTATAAGCGTAGTATTTTGTCTAATTGAATTTTGTATTTTGTAATTTTGATGAATTTTCACACGTTTCCTTTACAAAAATCTTTTATTAGTTAGTTTATTTCTCTACGGCATAGAATAATTTTATATGATAATATCTAGCAAAAGAGTCCGGAATAGAATAGGGGATAGAAAATTGTAATAAAAATTGTTGTTAAGACAAAAGTTATCTGATTTGAGCAAGGGTATTATTATTATTATTATTATACAAATTATTGACTGTTTTTAATTTCGTGGTTTAAACAAAGTTGAGAGTTAATAATTAAACCGAACAATTTAGTTTTAATATACAAAACGAATAAGTTGGAATCATAGTGTTTAAAAAGTTTGGACTCTTAATTAAAAGCTCGACGATCACGATCTAATCTGACATAGAGGCGTACACGTTAGGATAGTTCACTCTAACGTTCGGTCTTCCTTCTTTGGCGAGAGAACACGACGATAACGAATTAAATCGCCGTAAGTAGTAAAACCGTAGGACTTTAGACGAGCACGCACCACCACCTTGCACGCAGATCTTTATCCATGGAAGGTAAATCTGCATGCAAGACCGCCGAGCCCTTAAACGCGATACGTGTATATCCCACGTCGACACACATGGATACATTTAAACGCATACAACACATTTACACCAATGCAATCGTTGCCTTCCTACTTCGATCCTACCCAAAGGGTTGTTTTCGCGATAACGAGAATTTTCGTACGACTTTGAAGAAAGAAAGAAAGAAAGAAAAAAAGAACAAGAGAGAGAGAGAGAGAGAGAGAAAGAGGGAGAAAAGGGCGAAATAAAATTAAAATAATTAAAATATCGATATGTGCAACCCTGAACACCCACTATATTACGAACACTTACAAATTATTTAAAAATAAATTAACAAAAAAATATTGAACGATCCAAACGAGGGTGATTATTTCTTTTGTAAAAATGTTTGTGAGAGTGTATTAAAAAGAAAAAAAAAAGTAGTTCTTCAGTTTTCGGACGTATACTTCTGTCTCTCTCTCTCTCTCTCTCTCTCTCTGTCTCTCTCCTCCTCTCGTTCTCTCTTTGGCAAAGTTATCTAAGAGAATTAATAATACGTGACACGGAAGCAGTCGCGGAAGGTCGACACGAGTGGAACTCCTTTGTGGGAGGTAAAGCGTGATTGGCTTCATAAGGGTCGACGAAGTATCGGCGAGCTTGAAACCGCTTGACGAGGCCAATACCAGTAGTCTCTACCCACTTTTCAAACCCTCATCCATCCATACAATCCAATCGATATCACCAACGTTGGAATTGGATGGACAATTTCCAATCCTCTACCACCACTTATCCTACTTCGTCTTTTTTACGTTTCGTGATCGTACGTTCTCAAGCCCCCAAGCAACTTCCCCCCCCCTTCCCCACCCCTAACACCTTTCGTCGTGTCTCCTTTAACCTCTCGCTGGCAAAAGCGGTCAACGTGTGGTTTTTCCGCGATAGAGCCACTCTCGATCTTTGAATACAACTTTGTCAGATTGCAATTAGTCGATCTTGTTTCGTTTTATTTATCGAGAGAGAGAGAGAGAGAGAAAGAGAGATGTGATTACAAAGATTTCTAATTATTCGACGCTATCGAACGAATTTTCCACGAGTTTTATTAGTGTGTTCAGTTAACCGAGTTGTTCAACGATATTTCAAAGTTTTTTTGTTTTTCTTTTTTCTTGTTTATCGAAAAATTAATCGCAAAAATTGGATAGTAGCAGGGTGAAACTGAGTTGGACGAGTATAATACACGATCGTTTTATTTTCGTGATTTACAAGGGTGGTGGGCTGGGGTGGGGGCACGTGCTGAGTATCCCTAAGTAAGATGGTTGTTCTCGACCTAACTGTCCGTCCCTTTTGCGAAGCACGTAGGGCTGACAAAGTTTGTCAACGCGTGGTTCTCCACGATAGAACTAATTTTCTATTTTTCTGTGATCACACATACACGACGTTAGCCATATTTTTTTATTTTCTTTCTCCCCCTAACTCCCTTTCGAAACGATTCGCCATTTTTAACATATAAAAGAGAATAGAAAGAAAAAAACAAAATAAACAAGCAATCGAACTCGGTGAACACGTTTCCGAAACTCTTCCTTCCTGTTTACGCTCGTTTACCGATTTACTTTTTACCGATCGTTAAACCTTTTCCCCTCATCCCTCGAACCCCCTTTTCATCCTTATCCTTCCCCCACTTATACTGCTTTCTCTTTCCCTTTCTATCGGAATTGTGTCGCACGAGTAATTTCTATTATTCAGGTAGAAGAGACGCATCGAGGCAGGTAGCATCGAATGATTGAATCGAAACGCGAAGAAGAGAAAACGAGGAACGAGCTGGAAGTGGAGGAGGGCGGGGGGGGGACGAGGAGTTCGACTAATAAGAATCGTAGATAAAGAATCTCATCGATGTTACGATCGGTTAGCCGAGTTAACCGTCGCGTAGGCTTGATCGTAACGATGGCTGAATATAAGGGGGTAAGAAAGGTTGGCCGGAAGGAAGTGGTAGGCGAAGAAAAAGGAGAAAGTGAAATGAAGGTGAGGAGAAGGGCAGGGAGGGGAGAGGTAGGGCTATTCGTTTAATACGACGTACTCGAAGAAGATGAGAATAGGTAGTAGGACGAATTGCGGATGAGAAGATGGTGGTAGGAATAAGAGAAAGAGAGAGAATGAGACGAAGAGAGAGAGAGAGAGAGTGTGTGTGTATACGTGAAGGAAGAGAGGATGGTTCGAAAGGGGTGGCTCGTAATATCCTGGCAAGTCCGCGGGCTCCGTCATGTGTGCTTAATCACTTTTCAGTCGACTCGGCAGTCTGCAACCCCATTATCGGCGTCTCACCACCCGGAAAATTACTCTTTTATTCTCGAACAACTCGAGTTCCCGGTATTCCGTGTACCACGATATACACACACACACATTCTCTCTCTCTCTCTCTCTCTCTCTCTCTCTCTCTCTCTCTTGTTCTTCGTTCTTTCGATTCTTCGACGACTTCGATGGTTTCTACGGATTCTTTTTTTTTTTTTGCTTTTTTTCTTTCTTTTTGCTCGCGTTGTACCTTCCTCCTCGCTGTCATTTCCTAGCCCCTTCGATTTTAATTTTTTCAAATTTTACGAGAAAATGTACCATTTAATTCGATGATTTAAGAAAAGCAAGTAATAATAATAATATAAGTTTTTCATCGCTTCGCGAGGTTAATATGTTTTGATATATTTATTAGGAGAGAAATGAGAATAAAGGATGGGAAGAGAAGGTGCTGATTTCATCCCGAAACATCTTTCTATGAAAAGGGTAAAATAACCCTAGCATTTCCTTCGAAAGGGGATCGAGACTCGAGTGTATGGCAGCGAGTGGCGAAAGAAAGTGCTATACAGCAGGTTCTCTATTTTTCTTTCTCTCTCTCTCTCTCTCTCTGTGTGCCTGGGACGAGGGATCCAACTAACGTATTTACAAGTGCAAGCGATACGATTGTGTGTGCGTGTTTGCGTATATATATACATACATATTCATTTTCATTATATTAATATTTAAATAAGAAACTTCTTACGAATATTAATTTTCTATCTACTTAATAATTTTAATTGTATAAATATTATACAGGGAGTGTTTCGTAATATGTAGTACCCATGAATATGAAATACGATGAAAATAAATTCGAAATCGTAATACAAATGCGGTAAATATGTATATAAGGAGTTTAAAAGGTTAATTGACGAAAGGAAAAATAGTAAATGAAAGTTTCTGAATAAAAAGAAAAAGTGGAAGATATACAACGAGGAAGTTTAAAACATATTCCCCGTAATGCAATGGTTATATATACGATTCTTGGGATTTCCTTGTCGCTAACGCAAAAGAAACTTTTCGCACGATCCTTTGCGAATGCAAAGGAAACAAAAAATTGTGTCTGATTTTAAAAATTCAACGACTGCGTTTAGTAAGAGAGAGAAAAGGAATAACGAGGCAACGAGGCACATTTTTGACGCTTAACATGGCCACGCGAGAGTTCGCGATTGCGAAAGAGGACACTAGTTTTGCACGAGGCAAGTGTACATAACGAGTCCACGTAATTGTCGGCGTTTATGGTTTGGTACCACCGTTGAGAATTCCATACCGAGTAAGGAGCTTTCCCTTGGATTCCAATACGTAATTGATCCGGTTCGTGGTCAATGAATCATTGACTTTCCATAGTAAACGATTAGACAATTCATTGTATTAATTTTTATCGTGGAATTAATTGATTACGCTTGACGCTTGAATCGTGTTCAATTTTTAATCAAGATATCACATTTTTTTATTCCTATTTTATACAAAAACAAATCTAGGTTCAAAGAATAATGATTAATATCAATTGGTTTTTCATAGATAAATTGTATATTTTGAAAAATAATTGCCAATTCGTGTTTTAATGCGACAAGAGTAAAATAAAAAAAGAATAAAAAAGAATAGAATAGAAAAGAAAAGAAAAGAAAAGAAAGTAGGAAATAAGAACGTGGATGCGAGTTACGAAAAATAGAGAAAAAGAGAGCCAAAGAACGAGGAGAAAGAGTAGGAAGTGAATCGAGGCTCTCATTGACGATATTGAGAGAGGGCGATATATATTTTTATATACATACATATGTACATAAAAAGAGAGAGAGAGAGAGAGAGAGAGAGAGAGGGAGAGAGAGAGAGAGAGAGAGAGAGAGAGAGAATCTGAAACTCAGCGTGGATGAAGAGAAGAGAAGAGAAGAGAAGCGTGCGCGCGCGCGCGCACCCCCAAAGTGGAAAGCGGATTGGATCGGCTGGGTGATGGAGAGCGCAGACGGCAGAGCGAGTGAGCGACGAAAGGTGAAAGAGGTAGGAAAGAGGTAGGAAAGAGGGAGGAAAAAGAAGGAGAAGGACGGAGGAGAGAATGGGAAAGAAAAGGGGAAGAGGAGCGAGAGAAGAGAGAAATTAAGCGGATCAATGGCGGAGCAGCCCCAGCGAAACGAAACTTCAGCATCGACAGTCTCTCTCTCTCTGTCTTTCTTTTCCCTCCCTCATCTCCAATTTTCCCTCTTCCTTCATCTCCTCTTCTTCTTCTTCCTCCTCCGGGTTGGAGCTTGCGCCTTCCCCCCTTTACGAACCCTTTCATTTTCCCAATCTCTCTCTTTTTTCCTCTCTTTCTTTCTTTCTCTCAGCATCGCAACGGAGGAGGGGGAGGAGATGCGAAATAAACACGCAATGGAGAATCGAAAAGTAGAGCTAATTAGAAATATATTCGTGGTAAGTGAGAGACGAACGTGTTCTGGTGGCAGTGCTGCCAACGCCGATGCCGTCGTTATCGTTGTCGTTGTTGTGTTGTCGTTGAGGGGCATGACGATGAGAGAAGGAAGTTCGGTGTGATTCAAGAGAAACAGAGAGAAAGAGAAAGAGAGAGGGAGAGAAGCTAAGTCGAGGGTCGTTGCTTCTGCGGGGTAAACCCAGGACAAGAGTGAGAAGACATGAAAAGAAAGAAAAAGAGAGAGAGAAAGAGAGAGAGAGAGAGAGAGAGAGGCAGCAACGCGAGGTCGTCACGATGCGACGCTGCTGGTGGGGGATGTCGAGAGGAGAGGAGAGGAGAGAACGAAACGTTCGCTCGTTTGCAAGACAAAGAACTCGAACCGCCGCTGTACGAACTCGTAGTCGTGCATAAACGCTATCAGCCCCATCTACATATTCCGGCGACTAAGGAGACACGCGAAGGGGATCGTGAGAGAGGGGGGAGAGAGAGAAAGAGAGAGAGAGAAAGAGAGAGATAGAGAGAGAGAGAGAAAGAGAGAGAGATAGAAAGAGTTAAATAGAAAGAGAGAGAGAACATCGAAACTCGTTTCGATCTTCTCTCCTCTCTCTCTCTCTCTCCTTTCTCTTTTCCTCCTTTCCTATTCGAAAGTATTCAGAAAGATTTGAAAGAACGAAAGAGAGAACGACGACGCAAAGAAAGATTTTTCCCCATAGAATTTTCATTTTCGATGCGATACGATTTCACGAAAAGGAGGAGAGGGGATGAGAGAGAGAGAGAGAGAGAGAGAGAGACCTTCTGTATCATTTGTAAAATGCAACAAGGATCCTAACGTGAAACATCTCAAATATATGCGTTAGCATATATCGATATATCGAATATTCAAGGGGTACCGGATTATCGACTGTCGTGTTTCACAATGGCTCCTCTTCGTTGTAGGAAAGAGAAACCGTGAAGAAAAAGACAGAAAAGAAGAGGAAGAGACAAAGAGAGAGAGAGAGAGAGAGAGAAGGGCGGTTCCAGGGCGGAGGCAACGAGGGTGGAAGGAGAGAAGCCGTAGAAATAGCGAGCTGGCTTTGAAACACCCTTGACCCGGCACCCGAGGGTGGCTGCATGCTTGGCAGATTAGCCTAATGGTGAGTCCTCCTCTTATTCTCCTACTTGACGCCAGTTTACGAGACCCTCTCACTCGCTCGCTCACTCTCTCTTTCTTTCTCCTCCTATATCACGGATGCTGTGCGCCCTCTTCAACCCTCCCTCTGAATTCTGAACTTGGCTTGGCTCTTGACTCGATAAGAAATAATATTCCTTCAATTAGAAACCTTCAGGAATATCAATGTTTACGCCTCGAAGACCCAACTCGAAGAATTATATACCTTTTCGTTTTTTAATTATTATTTTTATTTCCATTTTATTCGTATTGTGTGTGTGTGTTTTTTTTTTTTTAAAATATGCGATCGCGTAAAACTATTTTAGAGATAGAAAATCAGAGAGAGAGAAAGAGAGAGAGAGAGAGGGAGAGATTGCTCGGAGAAATTATTAAAGTTCGTATTCACGACGAATAATAAATACGAATGTTCAACTATACTCTTATCTCAAAATCGTTATGTGCTTGCACAAACAAAGTGGTCCATTGTACATACGTATGCGTGATATACATGTACCACTCGAATAATAACGAACGCGTTAATATTTGCATATCTCTTTTTCAACGAAAGTTTACAAAGTAATGTCGATACAGAGGAATAGATTTATAAGGGCTATTATTACGTACCGATGAATTCGATCGGCGCACTCCGTAAGATAGCTCCGTTAATTAAGATTCGAGAGTAGCGTCAATATTTATACAGTAAGTATGCGGACGGATAGATGTGTCCGAAACGCGAAAAGGAAAAAAATGTTGTAAAAATAAAAGAATATTACCTACCCGAGTGTTCAAATAAAAAAAACACGGAGAGAATTTTCATGAAAAAATCAACAATGGGGAGAAACTCTGATGTTAAAACTTCAATTACATAGTAAAAAATAACAGGATATCACACACGACAGTTAGCACATTGATATATTAGTTATATATCATATCATCGATCTATCTTTCTCTCTCTCTCTCTCTCTGTTTCGCGTAAAGTAACAACAAGGAAGGTAAATAAAAAATAAACGAGAGAGAAAGAAAAACGCGAAGCGAAAGGTCAATTTAATAGCGGCAAAACCTCTAGACTACAGAGGGGATATCCAATAAAACGCGATGCGTGGATCGTGTGGGTGGTCCGATTATAGACGCGTGACGGCGGGTACTACCAGTAGATACTCACCGGCCGCAGCGGCAGCTTTGCCAGCATCCAAAGCCCCATACGGAGGTATACCCATGTGGGCGGGCGGTGGTTGCGTCAGGTGATCACCGTTCGGACAGAAGAAGGGCAGCCCGCTTGGATGCGTCCCTGCTAGGCCCATCTTGCTTGCCTGCAAAAATAAATCAAACGAAAATCCTTTAAAACGACAGTCGCAGCAACCCCGGATCTTAATATTTTACAAAACCAATTTCTTTTTTTTTCTTTGTCGATTTACACGACAAACAAAGTAGCAATTGTAAATTACGAATAATGCTTGGTTATAATAGTTACGTCGCTAAAGTAATTAATGTCTAAAGTATCGATAAGGAAAAATATCAGTTTGAAAAAGAGGAACGGGTCAAGTTCGTCGATATCCGAAGGGTTGACAACAGGAGAGAGCAGTAGCAGCAGCCGCCCTCCTATCAAGTTGAACTCTTAAAAAGGAAACTGGATATTCGATTCGATAAGGTAGTGAAAAGAAAGAAGAAAAGAGAAGAGAGGAGAGAAGAGAGGAGAGGGTGGGGACGGGAGCGAGTGAGAGAGAGCATTCGTCGAGGACGATCTCGAGCGTTAATTTGCAAAGCCGGCGCGCGCGCTCCTCTCGAGGACTCGAGGGCTCGTTCGGCTTTTCCGTGGGACGGCGTATCGCCGAATTCAAGTGCCTCTTCGAGGGTACGCCTCCCACCCCCTTCCCCTTTCCGTCTGCTCTTCTTCTTCCCTTTCGATTCGGTAACAGTCGATAAAATTGGCTCGATTTTATTCAAAGAGGTGTGGTGCACGGTAAGAAGATTAGCAGCCCCCCTCCTTCCCTTCTCCCAAACGGTTCTAAGTTATGCCAAACGCGTTATACTCGTCTCTCTTTATCGGCCAATTCTTACCATAATCGCAGCTATATCGCGCATCGATCTAACTGCTAGAAGAAGTCCAGGATCCAAAGGTTCCCTTTCCATCCACGTGAGAACTCTCGTGAGTAGTCCTACGGTTTCCTCGGCTGTCGGCTCTTCCTCCTCTTCGTTGTCATCCTCCTCTTGTTCGTATTCGGCTTCTTGATCGGTGCTCGACTTGTGTTCGGCTTCGATCTTGACGAGACGAGATTGATGATCAGGCTCGAGATCGATGGTATCGAAACGTCGGCAAGAAGTGCTACGTTCTTCTCCGTCCATGATCCATCGAGCGAGTTCCTCGTCGCCGACCTTGAGACCGAGTTCTCCAGCGAGCCCACGTAGTTCGTCCAAGAGCATCCTGTCCTCTTCTCTTTCCGCCGAAGCGACGATGGTACGAAGAACCGAGTTGTTTCCTGCAACGTTGGACCGACCACCTATCCGTGCCTCGACTTCTTCTCGTTCTCTCGGTAAGGCCCAACTTCTGGCAAACGTTTCCGAACGTACGCTCAACCAGGCTCGGTGCAGATCCGCGAAAGCTTCCTTCAAGGTAAACCGTTTAAGGAACGTTTCCAATCGATCGTCCTCCCGTTCGAACGTAGAGAGTTTAGTACGGTAGACATCGTGATAGACTCTGGTAAGCGCTCCGATGGCTAACCGAACTCTTAACTCCCTAACGACGATTCTAGTCTCGAGACAATCTTTTGGTACGACGAACAATCTGACCAGACCGTCGGCCGCAACGCAATCACCTTCGGGGGGCAAGTAATCCGCGCTCTCGGCCACGAGGACTGCGCCGTCGGGGTGCATGGCCATCGCCGTTACGGCAAACTCTCGGTGAAACCACCAAAGAAAGAGATCAGCTGTCAGGGAACCCCTTCCCCCGCCGGCATATACCACCGGTTGGCTGAGCATATTCACTCGTCTGAGACAACGCGGTCTCCAGTGACGACCGGCCACTAACAATCTAGTCCTATGATGTCCGTCATGGTCGGCAGCCCCAACAACCCAGACCCTTTCCCCGGAAGACCTCTCGGAGGAACTCCTCGAGGCAGCACCATGATGAAGGTTTCGGTGTTCCTCTAGGTGTCCACGTCGTCTCCCAGGCAAATCGCGCCAATCCAAAAAGGAAACGTGCGCCAAATAGATTCTGCTCCGATCGTAGCACTCCAAGGCGCTTCTGATACTTTCTAAAGGCGACGAGGAGGCCGTGGAGGAGGAGGTGGTCGACGAGGAGGTAGTGGTCGGACGCGGTCCAGAGATTTCATTTCTAGAATCGGCACGGTACGAAGAGGAGGACGGAGAAGAGGCGGCGAGAACTTCGGAAGAAGCCGAGGGTGAAGTAGCCGGCGAGGGAGAGGGCAAGGGAGCAGCTGCTGGGATCGCAGTGGAAGAGGAAGAGGGTGTGGGTGGTGGATTCGGTGGAGTCGACGTTACCGGTGGCTCGGTTCGAGTCTGGAGTTTCCCCACTGATCCCACCTCCTCCTCCTCCTCCTCCTCCTCTTCTTCCTCCTCCTCCTCCTCCTCTTCCTCCTCCTCTTCCTCCTCTACCTCCACCTTCCCTCCTTCCTTCTTAGTCTCCGGTGGTCGTGCACACTCGCGGCTACCGCGGCGGCTCGTTTCCTTCCGTTTCCGGTCTCTGCAAAGTAGCCGTTTTCGTGAGTTCTTGGACGTTTTCGATCGACTACCACCAATCGAAGATCTTTCGCTACTCGACGCTACCGAGGAGGACCTCGAGGAAGAGGGAGAATTCGAGGGGGAATTCGAGGGGGAAGAGGAGAGGCCGGGCGACAGGGATGGTGGTGACCGCGAATAAGAACAGGCCGAGCTAGAAAGGTCTCTGCTTTCGACCAGGAGTTCGCGATGCGGGCTTTGCGAGCACGGTCGTTTTAGCAGGGTGCCGTTTTCACGGGGCTGCTCGAGGCCACCTTCGGTGCTTTCCAGGGGTTGGCGCATGCGCGTCGCCAGCCACGATCGACCCTCGCGTGCCGCCAAGACCGTCGCCGCCGTTGCCGCCGCCGCCGCCGCCGCCACCGCGTCTGTCTCTGGCGTCGTCTTCGCTCGGCCTGGTTTTCTCTTCCTCTTCTTCCTCTTCCGTCTTTTCATCGTCATCGTTGATGCCTTCTTCTTCTTGTCCTCGGCCGACTGTTGCTGCTGCTGTTGGCGTTCTCGTTCTTGCTCCCGACGTTCCTTCTGGTCAGCAGCCTCGAAGGTTCTAGATTCCTCTCTCGAAACCCTACGATCTTTTTGTAAGGCGGGCACAGCTTTGCTACCGCTAACACGCGCGCACTTGCTCCCGCGAGGAGACATCCCCTTATCTCTTGGTCGTATGAATAGAAAGAGTATTAAGGTTAGGAACACTGTCGAACTCGATCGAGTTCCGAGGAGGAAAGGAGATCTGTTGGTGGGAAAGGAGATCTCGCAGATCCCGGCCGACGAGGATTCGCGAGGACAACGACGTCGAGCTCATCCGCGCGGCGTGGTGGCTTCGCCTACCGAGCGATGACTGAGCGAGCGGCCGCGACGCAGCCGTCAAAGGCCGGAGCGGGAACTAGAAGGCTTTGATGTACCGCCGCCCCGGTGCGCACAAAGCGAAAGCGGCCCCGGCTCGTTGGTTGGCATGGCATGAGGACGCCCGGGGGCGGCGGCGGCGGCGGCGGTGGCGGCGGCGGCGGCGGTGGCGGTGCTGGCTCTCCTGGTGGTGGCTCTCCTGGTGGTGGCTCTCCTGGTGGTGGCTGGCTCTCCTGGTGGTGGCTCTCCTGGCCCAGCCTGCCTCACAGTTGCACCCTCCCGTCCGCCGCCAAGGGGTGGAAACGGGTGACCCAACCACCCTCCCACTTTCCCTTCCTCTCCCTCAACTGCGCGACCCTCCAATGTCTACATTAGACACCTTCCACCTAGAATATCGCGTCTAAGAAATTCCTTTTTTCTTCCTTCTTTCCTTCCTTCCTTCGAAAAAGGGAAGGGACGATAAAAAGTCCTCTTGGAACCCTCTATTATTTTCATATAAACCTCACCCTTCCGTGTCACGCGTTACGCGAGTAGAGAGTAAACCTTATCGATCTCGTTTAACCTACACCCTGTATAACACACTGCACTACATTCTGTCTCATCGCTGTTCGTGCACTTACTTTCTTCGCAAGTGTACTACTAATCGTCGATCTTCTTCTCTCTACACGAATTCCAAACGGGTTTAGTTGATGTTGATAAATCATTAATGCTTCCGTTAATAAGCAAATGAGGGTGATCTGGATTGAACATCGATGCTTTTCATCGACTTTTCGATGATTCCGATATGGTTATAATGATGCTTCTGTTGGATTATCAATAGCCTTGATTGACCAATAATTATTCTAATGATCTGTCAATGACTTCAATGGGTCATTGATACTATACATTTGACACGAGTTTATCGGTGTCTCTGATACATATTCTTGATTATTTTAACCTACAAATCTCTGATGGCACCGTTGTAACATCGGCTAAAATAGCAATTATTTACTTTGTGTCGACAAATCATTGGAGATTAAACATGGAAATGAATGGAACAAGATCCGGATTCATCATAGTCGACAAATCGGATTTGTTCTTGGGTGTTCGCGGAGGCATACGATTATAGGCGCGTTGGCCTTTCATAAACGCGTCCACATCAAACGCGATACGCATAGGTCGATCGTGATAATATTTGTCACGTAGTTGCGGTACCGCCGTGGCTCTACGCGCGCTCCTACCGCCAGCCAATACGGTAATCGATCTGTTCGCGTTCCCGTGCGGACATAGAACCTACCTCCTCTCTCGTTCGTGCATCGCTCTCAATACGATGTCATTTCTATGTTACAAAAGAAAGACAGAGATAAACGACGCTGCGAGCGTTATTCGTGCGAGTTCAACAGCTTTATCTTTGTATTAACGAATCCAATAGAGAGAAATAGTAGACCTATCGGTTCGTTCTTTTTCGTTTGAAATCTCGGATATACCATTTACGTGCCAATATTTTTTATATTTAAACTAATGTACCAAATATTCTTTCAGTTAACGCTTCTTTTCGATAATATATTTTCCATCGATCGAAATCCGATTAAATTTGAAATATTTAGCTTTGGAGAAAAAACGCAACAATTGGGTACTTGGAAAAAATTAATTATTAAATTAACGCGGAGAACGCGGAATTTGTAAAGAAGCCATTCTCGTTCTAGAGATATTCTATTTAATTTTTTCTTTACAAATCGTACGAGACATTTTATAATGAATCGATTAGATAGAAATAGGAGTATTAGTTCGAGCCGATCGTGGAACGTAATTAGATCGACATTCCTCGCGTCTTGCCATCACGGCTTGCCACCTCGTGAAGGAAACTAGTAGTGGAAGACTCGTTTCCATAAAGAAAGACATTCTCGAACCTACGAACAATGCAAACGAGACCAGTTTGCTAGCAGCTATTTTTTTTTTCTTTTTCTTAATGATTCTCCCGATCCAGAAAGCTCCTTTAAAGAGTACGCAGTATTCCCAATGGTCCGTCGGGGCTCGTTCATTAACCTGTTTCCATTCTGAACAAGTTGCATTCGATTTGCGAACTTCCAAAGTGAAAATTCACAATCTTTTTTATTCCCATATGTTTATCATTGACTATATGATTATCGATTACGTTAAGACAGTTAATGAATTGGTATAATGACACATTAAGAAATTCATTCCTTATCCTTCGATGATTTCAATGTATCTTTAATCGAATAGAAAATAAAAAATATTCATGCCATACTCTTTTTAAACTCTTATATCTCGTTTACCCCTTTTTTTCGCAACCCACTTCTCGCGAAAACGCGGAAGAAAATAAGAGAAGATGAGAGAGAAAGGGATGGTTGGGTTCAAGGCGACGACAAGCCGTAGTTTTCCACGCGGAAGATCGAATTCGTCTCTCCTACTACCACCACGTTTCTTCTTCTACGCGACGCCAATTTGATTCACCCTATTTGAAGTTGAGCAGAGAAAGAAAAAGAGAGTTCTTTTTCGAAGATGGGTGAGAATCGACTTCCTCCACCCTGTTACCGAGAGAAAGAAACACGGCGTTTACGTCTCTCTACGTAAGTTTCAAGAGGGTTGGTTGTGTCGCGTGTTCGGAAAAGAACATGGATGTAAAAAGACAAAGAGAGAGAGAGAGAGAGGGAGAGAGAAAAGGGACGATGAAACGATCGCCTAGCATCTACGTTGGGAAGTACTCTTCGAAAATCGGTTTACGTTAACGCGTTCCGAAAGTTTCCGTTTCCTTTCCGAGGTGCCTCGACGTTTTAAGGGTTCGTTCGATGCGGAAAGATAGATTGTTTCTTTCTCCAATCACATTCGGCTGATAGAAAAGACTAAGATTTTTAAATCTAATCTTTTTAGAATCTTCCTCTCGAATGTGGTAGTAAAATAAAATCTATAAAAAGCTAATAAAAATGTTGAATAATTTTAAACATTTCCAACAATATTACTGATCATCGTTTGACGACAAAGTCAAATATTGACTGAAACAATATATATTTGAATATTTCCAATGACGTTTTTCTTTCAGTATTATTGGAAAATGTTGAAGAGACTGAAGTAATCAAAGTGACGAAGAAAATATGTCACGATCATGAAGGATGATTAAGATCGTGCAAATTGGTCTTTCCTAACACGCGTTCTACTATGTTCTAGCGTATTCTCTCTCTCTCTCTCACCCCGGTCGTATCTCTTAGAACGAAGTACGCATGAATTATTCGAGATACGTTAATCTTGTTGGCTTCCAGAGAAGCTGCTGCTGCTTGCCTCCGCCCTCGTTTCTCTCTTGCTCTTCCATCATCACGTACACACATACATAGAATTTCGCATAGTTTCCACGTCGTAGAAGATCGAGAAGGAAGAGAGAAGAGAAGAGAAGAGAAGAGAAGAGAAGAGAAGAGAAGAGAAGAGAAGAGAAGAGAAGAGAAGAGAAGAGAAGAGAAGAGAAGAGAAGAGAAGGGATGCCGAAATAGGAGTAGGCAGGAGAGTTGGAGAAGAGAAGGATGACGAAGAGAAGAGGGTTGAAGGGGCCTCGGGAGGGGAGTTTTAGGGGGGTTGGACGAGTCGAGTCGAGTCGGTGGTGGAAATGGAAGAGGAAAAGGGAGAGGAGCTCCGGTGGAGCGCGGAGGAGTGGGTGGAGGAAGGTTGTTGCGAGGGGTCGAACGGGATCTAAGGGGGTAGGAGGGGGTAGGAGGTGCGGTGAATGGAGCCGTGGCGCAACGGAGGCGGCGGTGGCCAACCCCAAGCCGAGGTTGCCGGGGCAACGTGGGAGGTGTAGGTGCCGTGCCGGTGGTATGCTGCTGCTGCTGCTGCTAGAACTGATGCTGATACTGTTGGGAGGACAAGGAGAGGAAGGGTTCTCTCATTCGCTCGACTAGGGCCAGAATGCCGTGCCGCGGGGGTGGTTTTTCTCCCGAGAGCTCTTCCCCTACGTCGGAAAGACGACTGCAAGAGTGAGCGACCGAGAGAGAGAGAGAGAGAGAGAGAGAGAGAGAGAGAGAGAGAGAGAGAGAGAGAAAAGATCCCTAGCCAAAACGACGACCGTCGAACGTAACCTTAACTGTCGTTCCTGCTGCTACTATACACACCCTCTCTTCTACCTTTTCCTCCCTTCCTATTCACCACCCTTCGACCGTTGTCGTATCGTCGTTACGATACCTTCCTACGTCCACCCAACGTGTTTTCCTTTTCTCTGCAAATTCTCGATGACAGCTCGAATAATCGAGCGGGACAACCGAAACCAAAAGAGAGAGAGAGAGAGAGAGAGAGAGAGAGAGAGAGAGAGAGAGAGAGAGAGAGAGAACAACCGATACTCGTCCTTTGGTGTCATTTTCCTATGCGCCTCTTTTCTATCCCTCAGTTATCGGATCGGAGTGTGCTTCGATCGGTTCAAGAAAGACGACTTTTTTTTTAATCTCTTCTTCTTTTTAACACTTTATATTTATCTGGGTTTAATATTGTGTCAAAGTTATAACCATATTTATTGTATCAGGCAAATAGTAGATATAAACGATATTATTTTTTTTTAGTTAAATAATTAATAATGCTCTTATGAATAAGGATTTATCTTTGAATAATTGAAACAATATCCGAGTGAAATTGATTGTGATATTTTAAATACGTAGAAATTCTTAGCGAGGAACATTCTTGGATTTAACGAATCGTCGAGAACGAGTTTAGGAAAGGCACCCTTTTAGGTGAGAAGCACACGTTTAGTTCTTTCTCAAAGGGTGAGTCTTTGGTCATGCCAGGGTTCGTTTTGTTCTCCCTTAGTTTCTTTTTCCTTGGTTTCGCGCGAGACTCCTCGCCACCCTTTTTCTTGCTGCCTCCTCCGCCTCCTTCTCTTTCTTCCTCTTCTCGTTTTTTCTTTTCTTTGGTCAGGTCGTTAAAGGGTTAACCGGTTGACCTAGACACGTGTCTCGAGTGTCTCGCGTTTTCAGCCGCCTGTTAGTTACCTTCTTTCTTGTACATCCTCGTTCTTAAGGTTTTACGAAGAATCAGACAGGCAATGCCCTTTTAATGCCGCCCAATGCTTATACCACGATTTCCAAGAAATTTTTCCAATCTTCTTCTTCAT